CTATTGATTTGGGTATTGATTCTGAAACCGCCAAATTTGATCAAATTTGATCAAATTTCGCCTAAATTTGATCAAACTTGATCAAGTTTGATCAAATTGCACTTTCTTTCGTTTGTGCCATGCTTATTGATTTTCCACAAATTTCCTTGCTGGTTTTCTATTGAAAAAGCCAGGCTCGAAATCAATAAAAATTATTGATTTTTGTTTGAGAATATTGATTAGAATCAATAGGTGATGCCCAGGGAACAAGGTATAAACCCTAAAGGTGTCGTGGCTCTTCTTACATCAAGTGCAACAAGATACAAACCCTAAAGGTGTCATGGCTGTCCTTTCATTAAGTGCAACAAGATATAAGCCCGAAAGGTGTCGTGGCTCTTCTTACATCAAGCTCAACAACAAATAAACCCTAAAGGTGTCGTGGCTCTTCTTACATCAAGTGCAACAAGGTATAAACCCTAAAGGTGTCGTGGCTCTTCTTACATCAAGTGAGGTGTCGTGGCACAAGATATAAACCCTAAAGGTGTCGTGGCACTCCTTACATCAATCAAGTGCAACAACATACAAACCCTAAAGGTGTCACATCAAGTGAGACAAGATATAAACCCTAAAGGTGCAACATCAAGGGCAACAAGATATAAACCCTCAAGGTGTCGTGGCACTCCTTACATCAAGTACAACGATAAATAGAGCCTAAAGGTGTCGTGGCTCTTCTTACATTAAGCGCAACAAGATTTAAACCCTAAAGGTGTCGTGGCACTCCTTACATCAAGTACAACAAGATATAAACCCTAAAGGTGTCGTGGCAGTCCTTAGATCAAGTGCAACAACATAAAACCCTAAAGGTGTCGTGCCTCTTCTTACATCAAGTACAACAAGATATAAGCCCTAAAGGTGCCGTGGCTCTTCTAACATCAAGTGCAACAAGATATAAACCCTAAAGGTGTCGTGGCACTCCTTACATCAAGTACAACAAGATATAAACCCTAAAGGTGTCGTGGCTCTCGTTACATCAAGTGCCATAACATGTAAACCCTAAAGGTGTCGTGGCTCTTCTTACATCAAGTGCAACAAGATATAAACCCTAAAGGTGTCGTGGCTCTCCTTACATCAAGTGCAACAACATATAAACCCTCAAGGTCTCGTGGCAGTCCTTACATCAAGTGCAACAAGATATAAGCCCTAAAGGTGCCGTTGCTCTTCTTACATCAAGTGCAACAAGATATAAACCCTAAAGGTGTCGTGGCTCTTCTTACATCAAGTGCAACAAGACATCAAGTGCAACAAGATAAGAACCTCAAAGGTGTCCTGGCTCTTGTTACATGAATTGCAACAACATGTAATTAAACCCTAAAGGTGTCGTGGCACTCCTTACATGAAGTGCAACAAGATGTAAACCCTAAAAGTGTCGTGGCTCTTCTTACATCTAGTGCAACAAGATATAAGTCCTAAAGGTGCCGTGGCTCTTCTTACATCAAGTGTAACAAGATATAAACCCTAAAGGTGTCGTGGCACTCCTTACATCAAGTAGAACAAGATATAAACCCTAAAGGTGTGGTGGCTCTTCTTAGATTAAATGCAACCAGATATAAACCCTAAAGGTGTCGTGGCTTTTCTTATAAGGGCAACAACATGTAAACCCTCAACGACATGTAAACCCTAAAGGTGTCGTGGCTCTTCTTACATGAAGTGCAACAGCATGTAAGCCCTAAAGGTGCCGTGGCTCTTCTTACATCAAGTGCAACAAGATGTAAACCCTAAAGGTGTCGTGGCTCTTATTACATGAAGTGCAACAACATGTAAACCCTAAAGGTGTCGTGGAAGTCCTTACATCAAGTGCAACAACATATAAACCCTAAAGGTGTCGTGGCAGTCCTTACATCAAGTGCAACAACATATAAATCCTAAAGGTCTCGTTGCTCTTCTTACATCAAGTACAACAAGGCTTTTGTTTCATATATTCACCTTCATTTTCTGTGGCAGGCGTGGGACCTTTTGACATCGACCTTCATTTTGCGTGGCAGGTGTGGCACTTTTGTACATCGACTGTCTTTTTACGTGGCAGGCGTGGGACTTTATGACATGGTTGAAACGAGTCAAATTCTCATACGAGGAGGTTTTTTGTGTTGGTCTCGCTTTGGAACGCGTTTTTCTTCCAAAGTCTCGCGCCTGTCAGTAAATCTGATGTGTGTGTGTGTATGGCGGGGTTTCCATGAGATGTTTTATTTTGTGTTCTAAAGTGATGCAAAATGGCTGTGTTCTAAAGTGATGCCTGAGAGTGTGTTCCAAAGTGATCCTTTTACCGGCATGACCACTTTTGGAGGTTCAGATGCCGCTTCGCTTCACTACACTACACTACACCACACTACACGACACACCACTACACTACAGGACATTACACTACACTCCAGTAGACTACATTACACTACACTACACTCCAGTACACTCCACTACACTAAATTATAGTCACTACACCACATTACATTACACTACACTATGCTCC